TCATGTTGCAAATGGGCTTTCACAGGGATTTTGTTAACCTTATCATTATTTATATCTCTTCCAACACATTTTCTTTCAAAGTGAATGGAACTGTTTGTTGTTATATTAGTCCATCTAGAGGCATTCGGCAAGGCGACCCTTTATGTCCATATTTATTTATCATAGTGGTTGAAATGCTCTCTGCTCTAGTTTCTAATGCTATTGACTCTGGTGATCTGATTGGCCTTAAGCTTTCAAGGAATGGCCCTACAGTGTCTCACTTGTTATTCTCAGATGACTCGCTCTTCTTTTGCAAAGCCAACATTGATCAAGCCACTACTCTGTTAAACCTTTTGGAAAGATATAGACTTTTTACAAGTCAAAGGGTGAACTTGCAGAAATCAGCACCATTCTTCAGCAGGAACACTCCTTCCTATCTCCAAGAGAGAATCTATGCCACCCTTCATGGTATCACACCTCACAAATCCACCAGATACCTGGGGCTCCCTCTTGGGATTGGTAAATCTAAAATGGAAGCTTTCAATTTTTTGCTGGAATCTGTGAAATCCAAACTTCAGAGCTGGAAGTCCAAACTCCTCTCTCAAGCTGGCAAAGAAGTGCTCCTCAAGGCAGTAATTCAATCACTACCAGCATTCTCCATGTCCTGCTTCAGATTGCCATCCACACTATGCTCAGAGATCTCAAAGTTATGTTCTCAATTTTGGTGGAGCAAAGGAGAGGATCACACCAGAAGCATCTACTGGAAGACTTGGAATTTCCTGACATTACCCAAGAAAGATGGTTGATTGGGTTTCATTGACATTAAGCTCTTCAACACTTCTTTGATATGCAAACAGCTATGGAGAATCTCAACTCCACCCCAAATTGCTGGTAAGAAGGATCTTGAAAGATAGATATTACCCAGATTGTTACATCTTTGATGCTGTTAAAACTCACAAATGTTCATGGTTATGGTCAAATTGGCTTAGGGTCCTTCCTGTCTTTGCCCAAGGTTTTGCTGTTGAGATTAGAAATGGATTACACACTAGACTTGATGATGTGATTTGGGTGCCCTATCTGTCAGCCCCTATGCTTCAAATTCTTGACATAGCCAGTGGTCACATTATTTGGGTGAAAGAACTTCTGGAGGATCATGGTAGACAATGGAAAGCTTGGTTAGTTAAACAACTTTTTAATGCTTCTGATAGTGCCATTCTAAAAATCTGCACCTTGAAGCCAGAAAAGCAAGACAAATAGTTTTGGAAGTTTGATAGCAAGGGAGTCTTCTCGGTTGCTAGCACTTACTCTTTCCTATCTCAGCAAAAGCTCCTTTCTTCAGACATTCCATGAAGCAGCTCTGTGCCAGGTAATTGCCAATCTGCAGCTCTTAATACTTGCTGGAATCTAAAAAGTTTTGGCAAAATCAAGCATTTCATTTAGAGGTGTATCACTGGAACTCTCCCAGTCACTACCAAATTGATCAGAAGGGGTATAAACCTTGATGTTATCTGCCAACAATGTGGTGAAGCTTCTGAGTCTGTGGAACATATTCTTTTTCATTGCCCTAAGGCAGCTAGAGTTTGGAAGCATTCCCCAGTTACTTGGGCTGACCTTCACTCTATCACATCCTTTAGATACTGGTGGAACAACATTTGTACAATGGGATCTTCTGAAATAGCCAAAGCCAGGATCGAACTCACCACTTACATGCTCTGGTGGCTTTGGAAGTCCCGCAATCGCTGGATCTTCCAAGGACAATCTATGTTAGCTCACCTGATTGTGAAAGCTGCTCATGAGGAGTGGTTGGAATTCTCCAACATCCTTCATTAGGCCGCTTTTATTTTCCTTCTTTTTTTGTTTTGCTGTTGGTTGGTTGTTTTGTTTTGTTGTTTTCGCTCTAGGCTTCCGGGTAGTGGAGATGTTTAGTTGAGTTGTTAGTTTGTTGTTCGTGTTCTAGGCCGCTTGTCGCGTGTCCTCTCAGTCTTTTATTCAGGTTTGGCTCGTTGTACTTGAACTATGTTTGTTTTTCCTTGAGTTTATAATACCTCTATCGTTCCGGTTAAAAAAAAATTTACAGTAGAGACACATATTTGCATCTGGGAGAAGAGAGAAAAGGGCCCAAAACGTATTTTGCGTTTCTGTTTGGGCACCAGTTGGAGCAATTTTCTGCTATTGCATTTGGGTTTGCAGCTCCATTGTAGTTGTTCTTATATCTTATAGTTTGTAGCTGAAAAGTTAGTTTATATGATAAAAGTATTTGATAAAATTAGATGATAACTAGTTGGGAAAAAAAAAATTCAACTAACTTATTTAAAAAACTACTTAATGAAGTTTATCAAATAAACTCGAGTTTTTTTTTAAAAAAAAAGTTCGTTCCAACAAATGAGACTTAATTATTTGAATACAGAGAATTTATATGCTAATCAGACGGTTGAAAAGAAGAAGATATGTGGTGAGGCAAAATTCAACCATCCTTAAAGTTGTTCCTCAGTAGATGACAATCTATATCAGTATGGTCTGTGTGCTCATGGAAAACAAGATTTGCAGTGATGTGGAAAGTTGCTTTGTTGTCACACCATAAAGGAATTGGATTAAAAACTTCAACCCCAAGATCTTGAACCAATTCTAGCAAGCCATTGCAACTCACACACTATAGTGGCCATGATTATATACTCGGTCTCGACTGAGGACTTAGAAATTGTTTTCTGCTTCTTGGTTTTCCAAGAAAGTAAATCATCCCCAAGGAAAACACAATAGCCTGCGATGATTCCTAGTTATAGCACAAGTTCCCCAATGCAAATCACAATAAGCCTACAAAGTAGAGGATATGTGAGAAGGAAAATGGAGGCCAGACAGCAAGTTCCTTTAAGATATCTCAATAGATGAATAGATTCATTCCAATGAGGCTTAGATGGACTCTTGATGTGTTTACTGAGTTGTTGTACTCTATAAGAAACATATGGCCTAGAAACGTTCAAATAAAGAAGCCTCCCCACAAGTCTTCTGTATGGTTCAGGGTCAAACAGTGGCTCATCATCTTGAATTGATAAATTTAGTCCTTGTAAAAAATGGGTAACAACATATTTAGAATCTTGTAGCCTGAAGTCTGCTAATATGTTAAGGATGTACTTCCTCTGACTGATATGTGTTCATTTGACAGATTAATGATTCTCCAAACCAAGAAAATACTTTGCCATTCACAAGTCCTTAATGATAAAGGTGTCGATTCGGTGAAGAACGTCGGTTCATATGTGCATTGAATAGGATTCAAGGACTTACGGTTTAAACTTTTTGTCGACTCTGAAACATTTTTGATTTATGTTAATGGAGATCGTCTCAACCTCATCGAGTCTTCTGAGTCCAAGTCGTGCCATACATCACCCTGGGCTTCACACCATGGTTACTGGCCAATCAGGTCACCCGGGGTTCGCTGGAATGTTGTCGGACCATCTTCAGTCTGATGGTGGTTGTTGGACCTCAATAGTGGTTTTAAGGCCTCGC